GGTTACACACTCTGCCAGAAACCTGTACCGCGCGTCCTGCAGGCTAACATCGAGCCTTTGCAATAAAAAATAGCGGGTTTACACCCAACAAGGAATGACAACGGTGCTTTAAAACAGCCCCGGGTATTGCCTTGGTCCTTGCACAGGGAACCACACGATGCAGCTGGCAGGAGGACACACGCTGCCAAGCAAACCAGAATTCCCCACATAAGCTGCTGGCAGGACAGGCTGACCAAAAGACAACTTACCTCTATTTCTTCTCCCAGAACATCTTCTTCATTTGCTTCTTCTTCAGCTGGAGGAAAAAACAACAGAGCAATTGCAGCAGCAAATCACTTCAGCGGTACCTTTGGTTTCTTAGATAAAGTCTGCTATGAGACTTTTACTGGGGAAAGCAGGGAGCAGAGGCAGATGGAACCACGGAACAGTTTGGGTCGGGAGGGACCTTAAAGCTCATCTCATTCCACCCCCCTGCCCCGGGCAGGGCCACCTCCACCAGCCCAGGTTGCCCCAAGCCCCGTCCAACCTGGCCTTGAACACCTCCAGGGATGGGGCAGCCACAGCTTCTCGGGGCAACCTGCCCCAGTGTTATTGTCTTCTATTGCCAGTCTACCAGGTAAGAGGACCCTAAAGTACTTCCCATCCCGGTGTGGTAGCTCCTGCTCGGCCACGGACTAGTCAGAATAGACACAACACGAGATGCGTGACTAAACATCCCATCTCTTGTGTTAAACTTCAAGCTTTTGACACGCAGGCATCTGGGCAGAGTTTTCCAGAGAAGCCACTTTTTCTTTCTGAATGTTCCTACTCTAAAGTTTCAGGGAGTAACTTGAGGAAATCAGGTATTTCTACCCTTTTATATAAAAATCTCAGGCACTTCAGATATTTTAGATAGCATTTTACTTCAAGCGATTGCTGCATCTCAACCCACGAGAGCTCCGCGGTGAGCGGCACGCGGCTGCAGCCGCGGTAAACGGTCACGCTTGTGCTTATTACTTTGATAAACGCAGGTAGAGCAAAGCACCGGGAGCAGAGCTCTCCTCTCCCACCCGGGAGATCCCCCACCGCCGAGAACTGCCCCCCGGCCGGCGGGAAGGCGCCGGCGGAGCCCCACAGCACCCACCGTGCTCCTCCAGGTACGCCTGGAGGCGGTTGATCAGATCCTGCTTGTTGCCCTTCGCCTCCAGGCCGCGGGCCAGGCACTCCTGCTTCAGCTCGGCCAGCTGCGCGACAAGGAGCCCCCGGTTAGTGCGCTCAGCGCGCCGCGAAACGAATGAATGAAGCAATTAAAAAGCGTATAAATAAACAAGGCGGTTTGCTCTTTTTTTTAGGAGCCACGAAGGCGGCTAAACGCCCCGGGCTGCCGGGTTTTAGCCCGGACGACCCGGTTAACCCAGCGGGCCCCGGGGAGGGCGGCTCTCCCGGCACAGGCCGGGCCGGGCCCGGCGGGGAGGCGGCTCCCGGGGGAGGTGAAGGCGGACCCGGGCC